GTCCAAACTCAGGGTCTGAGTCCAAACTGAGGGTCTGAGTCCAAACTCAGGGTCTGGGTCCAAACTCAGGGTCTGAGTCCAAATTCAGGGTTTGAGTCCAAACTCAGGGTCTGGGTCCAAACTCAGGGTCTGGGTCCTCTGAAGGTTGAACTTGTCAGCTGCTAACGTCACAGCCACACTGGAGACTGTCCAGATTCAAAGACTCCTTCGATGTGGTCCACAAATGCGTCGTCATTTTGTCCTGATTTGAGGGACAGGTCCGATGGATCCTTCTTGGTCCACCATCTCCCATAATGCACTGTGGGTCAACTGGAGATCATTTCCTGCTCGTAGTGCAGTTAGAAGTCAAACAGCTGCTTTAGAGAAATAAACATCAGGTACAGCAGGTCCATCTCTTCTTCAAATAGTGCCTTTTACATAATATTGTTTTATGATATTTATAATACTAATACATTGATATTTTGATCATTTTGATCTATTTTTGCTTCTGTTTAGCATCGTCACAGCTGCTAGGTGACAGGACAAATGCCGGGACAAGGACGGGACTAAAGCAGGAGACCAGATGGTCCAATTTCACTTTTCCAGTCTTTGTGGTCAACCAAGGACCCAGCCCACCTTCTGAAACAGCCTCAGTGTCCATCCTGAGCAGCACAGAGGTGACAGTGGAGAGGAGAACCTCCAACAGAACCAGGACCAGAACCAGGCTCAGGACAGGATTACCTGGGTTTGTGGGACAGGAGTGGTAGTTTTCCTGGATCTCAGGGTAAAATCCTAAAATAACTGCAGCCTTATAGAGTAGGTAACCGTGTCTCCACACATCCCTTGGATCCTAACCAGGACRTGAAATTATGTCAAAGATGGTTTTAATGTCAAACTGATTTGGTTGTTTTTGACGTTTGTACCACACAGTCTGGTTCTACCTCAGGTTTCACCTCAAAGCCTGGTCTCAGATAGTTTGGTAGGTTTCAGGGTTCACACAGGGTGGACTGGCTGCAGGACTGACTCTGTATTTTTACCCATCCTCATGACCTCTGCTTTGTTCTGTTGGTTTTGGTTGAGTGTTGTATAAGAGACGGGGAGATGTGAGTCAACTTTTTGTGGTTCTCCTCTGGTTGTGAAGGGCTCGCCTCAGACTTTTCCTCTGATTCCAGCAGGAAATCACAGGAATTTGAAGTGATGCAGTGTTTTTTCATGTAGACTGCAGTTAAATCAAACTGAATAAAGAGACCTGCAGTTTATTGACTCAGTTTTGCTGATCATATTTCTGACTCTTAGCATTAAAACTACTGAGCTCAAATGTTTAACCTGTCTGTAATAAAATAAATGATTTTTCTTTGACAATCACCAGTTCTACCAGTTTGTACTGACTGGTAGGACTTGCTGCAGCTCAGGACCGTACACAGAGGTCTCTGCAGACCTCACGTTGGTCCTGCAGCTCCAGCACYGAACACAGTTCATTCTCAGAGTTTCACAAGTTGCTTTCCTCTGGGAAGTTGATGAAAACACATTTTTTTACTTTTGTGCAGCGTTATCCGACTGCTCTGTACCACAAAATGTCAACAGGGATGTTTTGTAGCTTTTAGTTCATTAATGGGAACTAGTTATATTTAAGCTCAGTGTGAACTCATTGTGAGTCCTGATGCTTTAAACAGAACTGTTTCAATTTATATTTAGCSTTAATTCTATACTGAATTATCTCAACTAAAAATATGTTTAAGTTTTGTTCTGCAAGACTCACTGATGTGGTTCATTTAGTAAAAGTTATAGATCCTTCATCAGAGACTGCAACATCAGCAGGGATCAATTATCAGTAAAAACAAGTGATTTTGAAGGTCAGTAATTATTTAATATTTTCAGTTAACCCACAGGAGGTAGGATTAACTAACGACCATGTGATC